TAAGCTGCAGTGAATTACCACTTCAAATATCAATAAAAGGGGCGTTACACTTATATATATATACACACTCACTCATACACACAACACACCTACGCAAATAGTTTTTTCACTCTTAATGCTAATCACTAGACCACCTGGCCCAATGTCAGGTGACCGAACGGTACGATTAACTGTTACAGGAGATTAAAGGATCAACACTAAACATGTTCGAATATCTGTAATGGTCAAAATACTTGGCACTAGGTTTAAAGCGCTATGTAGACTCTGCCCTATGTAGGAAGATATGTGTGGAATAAGCTGAACTCGTAGGCGGCCCCTGCTGACCCGTCCTACAAACACATTACATTACACACAAAAACTCACACGTAGACAAACAGCCTAGGAATAAACACAGATTGCCTTTTGAATCTTGTTTTGAAGACAAAATGTTTATAATTAGCCAATGTGTCTCATGTGTGTGCTTTCAAAGGACCATTCGCAGCTGTTGCAAGTTAAAAACCCATTCATTAGTCAATCATTCTTTTAGGTCTGAATAGCTGGCCGGTAAGTGGCTGAGCGTCTACTGGTTTATATGACTTATTATTCTAGATCTAGATATGGTGTATGCATATGTAAATATCTTTAACCTATGTAACTCTAATAATGAGTTCGCTTTCAATTTATCAAAGTTTCAAATATAGAGATAACAACCACATCAATCACAATAGGCTACAGTAAATCAGCTTTTTCTTAGCCTTATAAGTTTTTAATATCTCAGGGTGACAGACAGCACAACACCAGAAGTAGCTGTACCCTATTGAGAACTACTGAAAAGACCAAAACAAAATAGCCACATTGATGGGTGGTAAGAAAGAGACTAAAACAAAAAGGTCCAAAATGTCATTGCGAAAGTTAAAAAGAAGCTAAGGATCACAATGAATAATGAAATGTTTTGGTCTAAAGAAGCTAAGGATCACAATGAATAATGAAATGTTTTAGTCTAAAGAAGCTAAGGATCACAATGAATAATGAAATGTTTTAGTCTAAAGAAGCTAAGGATCACAATGATTAATGAAATGTTTTGGTATAAATAAGTGTTTCATCTTGACAGTTATTCTGTTCTTCTGAATCTACACATCTGTTTTGCATGTGAAGGATTGATAAATGAATGTGTGTGTGTGTGTGATTGGTAAATGATTGTGTGTATGTGATTGACAAATGAATGTGTGTGTGATTTGTAAATAAATATGTGTGTTTGTGATTTGTAAATGAATGTGTTTGTGTGTGATTGGTAATTGAATGTGTGTTTGTGATTGTAAAATAAATGTGTTTGTGGGATTGGTAAATGATTGTGTTTATGTGATATAAATAGTAATTAAGTCCATATCTAAGTCTATGATTGGTAGATATATATGGAACAGAAGTCCAGATCTACGTTTATGATAGATAGACATATTGTCATCCCTCTAATAAGTCTCGCTGGTGTCTCAATTAAAACATTTTAATTAATAGAGCGCACTCCAGAGAATTTCCAATGCTGGATGAAGCTCGAGTGTCGCGTATCACAGGGTTGAGTTACTCCAATTAATCCATAGCAACCATTACATCTCTCATAGGCAGACACATTATGCCAAATGAATGTATCGAATTTGGCAATATCGTTTAAGGTTAACTTTCCAGAATTCTTTAGGGACAGAACAGAATTTACTGAAGCTATAGCTTAACCTTCTAAGCTTTAAGTCTATCTTAAAGCGCGTGCCGCCAAGAGAGGAAGTATAGAGTGGTCTCACGCCTCACTCTAGTGGTCCAACTCCTTCCTGCCACATCTCACTCACAGTCGCAAGATAGTACGAAATTTAATGGAGATTATTTTGAATTCTGCCGTTTGGAACGCCAATTATGCAGGAGCCATAGATGAAATGACAAGGAAAACGTAAAAATACTTTTTAAAAGACGGTACCTCCTTTATGTAACTTATAGAGCGATTGTTTTTTAATTAATTTATGAATGTTCGATTAAAAAAACAATGGAACATTTTCTTATCCCGCACTCTCCCGCTCCCTTCTCTCTGAGAAAGAATCCCGGTTAAGCGAATGTATAGATCTAATCTAGAACATTTATTCCAATCATAAGCATTTAGCTCTAAGTGTAGTCTAGACTCAGAAGACGATGCGCAAAATTCCCGAACGCTATAGTCCTTTCAAAACCAATGTTGGATTTAGAATCCTAAATATAGATACATACTTGAAAAATGATAACAGTCAAACTAGAGTTTTCCCAGTGTGGCCAATGAGCTAGTAATTCTTTTCTCAGCAATATACACCAGCTGTTAAATTTCTAGGAAAATCGTTAGAGTCGTTTTGAAATCAGCTGTTATTAATGTTTTCTTGAGGAGGATGCATGTTCTATTATTGGCCTAACCAAGGTTAAATAACATTTTAGTTTTATGTTCTTATTTGATTTATAGAAATTTCTTTTAATAAATCCTAATGCTTTGTTTGATTTTTTGATAGCTTCATCAATATGGGGATTCCATTACAGTTTATCATTTATTATAACACCTAGGTATTTTGCGTTTTTAGTCTGTGTTACTGGTTTACCATGAATAAGATAAGTGGAATTAATTTGTTTTAGTTTTTTTGTTACTCTTAATAACTGACATTTTTCTGGGTGGAAAGACATGCTCCAATTTAATTCCTATTTCTGTAATTCATCTAAGTCTCTTTGTAACATTTCTGTATCTTGTGTTGTTTTTATTGTTCTATATATTACGCAATCGTCTGCGAATAATCTGACTTTTGTTCCTGAACTAATGCAATATGGAAAATCATTTATGTAAATTAAAAATAGTAGTGGACCTAAGACTGTTCCTTGAGGTACGCCTAAGTTTACTGTTATTGGTGTTGATTTAAAGCCATTTATTATTACAGTTTGTTCTCTCCCTATCAGAAAATCTTTAATCCACTGATGCAATGGACCATTAATGCCGAAATATTTTAATTTTTTAGTTTGTCAAAAGCCTTGGAAAAATCTAGTAAGATAGCATCTATTTGTTCACTGTTATCTAAACCTTTGAAAATTCATCAATTAGTCCTATTAGTTGTGTTTCACATGATCTATATTTCCTAAAGCGATGTTGGTATGGGGTGAGGACATTATGTTTGTCTAAGAGGTTTATGATGTTACTACATATTATGTGTTCAAGGATTTTACATGTGATGCTGGTAAGTGATACTGGTCTGTAGTTTCCTGGGTCAGATTTTTCTCCTTTTTTAAATAGGGGGGTGACATTAGCTTCTTTCCAGTCCTTTGGTACTCTGCGCTGGTTAAGAGATGCCTGAAAGAGTATTTTGAACACTGGGGCTAGTGCCACAGTCTCAGTTGACATTGCCTGATCTAATATTCACTTCATGTTAAGAGTTTAAAAGACACGTGGAATTCCTGATGTAGAAAACAGGAAGTAGAATGAATAAAGTTGACTTTGAGTTCAGTCAAGTCAATCAAGTAGTATATTTTGGTCCGGGACGGACAGTAGCGACTTAGAAAAGTCGAGCAGTATTTACAATTAGGAAGTATCTTTTAGGCAGTTGATGCCAGTGTTCTTTTTGAGACATGTATTATTATTCTGGATTATTCTGTACAGTGTTACCCGCTGAGATGCGGACGTGATTTGTAGTATACTCTAGAGAGATTAACGTATTGGATATTATTGATACCGCTGTTATGCGGATAGGATTTCCTTGACTTGTAGCACTAACAAGAAGTGCAGTATTATTATTATTGTTGTCAAATAAACTTTGTATTTGTCTGCTGAAACGGACTTAAGTCAATTTATGGTACTTATGTTTGTCACGTGTCAAGAGTACTCCAGGAAGCAGAAATCCAGCATCCACGACATTCGCATTCTTCAACATTACTCCATTTGACTTTTTACAGCTAGCTCATTGCTTAGTTCTTTGAGTAATCTAGCCGGAATACCATCAGGTCCAGACGCTTTATTTGGTTTGGTGTTGGCTAATAGTTTTTGGATTCCATTTTCTTGTACTACTATATCTTCTATGTTGTCTTCTTGGTTCAAATTAAGTATTGAGAGAATGCTGATGCAAAGTATTTGGTTAGGATGTTTGCTTTAGTTTCATTATCATTATGTATTATGTTATGTTCATCTTTTAATGGCACTATGCCTGTTGTTTCCATTTTTCTTGTCATAATATTGTCATTGACAATAATTAATGGTGGTCTCTGGCTTCAAATTAGCAGCTCGCACTTTTTCTTTCATTCATAAATTACATATTCTAGATATCTCGATCTAGGTCATGTTTATTCATTGAACAAATAAATAAATCATAGATTTATCAATCCCAATAACATTTCATATCACGATTTTGCCTTGTTTACTACAGGAGAATGTGTTAAATTCATTTTTATTCGTTGAAACACCTGCTTTTTTAAATTTTATTTAACAGCTAACAGTATAAATGTGATTGGAATGTTTTTCTAAAGATGTTAATTAATGGTGCAAGAATCTACCGAGTGAAATACTTTAAAATATATATTTAGAAGATTCTTATACAAGGCACACTGTATTCGGGAACTATGACAACTTTCTAAAGATGTTTGGAAGCTTATTTTGATATATCCATCAGCCTACGATCAAACAGGCTCATAATATAGCCCTCATCCCTTATATGGGTAGTAATTGCCGGGGGAGGTTAAAACATTAGCTTTACCTACATGGTTACCAAGAATCTAAAAAACTGCCCTCTGTTTTGGAAAAGCGGAACAAAAATACAGGAACTTATCTAAAATTGGACATGCACTGTCCCGAAACGTCGTTTTTAGCTCCAAACATAAAAACAAATTAATTATAAACAAAAAAAGCGACGTGTTTCTTAAAGGAGAATGTGGTGAGGTGTGCCTTATATAGGAAGCTACTCTCTCTCTCTCTCTCTCTCTCTATATATATATATATATATATATATATATATATATTTATATATATAAAAAAACAAGTCAATAGGAAAAGGTAAACAAACCTGTATGTTTATATGTATAATTTGAAATAAAAAAATAACATTAAAATACTTTCATTTGAATAACGCTTGACTTAAGGTAAAATGGTTTCAATGTAATCATACAGTAATATAACACAAAGCAGGAAATATATATCTTATATAGAGCACATAGAGCCCAGTTAATGTAGCACATGAACAAGTCAAATAATGTTGCATCATTAGAATTAAATGATGCACTATTCAAGAATAAAATAAATAAGTTAGAAGGGTGGCTATTTCAACGTTTAAACAAATGGGATAATGTCAAAGTGTCGGAGATCATAAGTGTGTGTAGTGTATAAATGTGACAGTGTTATGAGGTCATAAGGTGGCGTGCGTAGTGTACAAAATGTGTCAGAGGTCAAGGGTTATGAGGTCATAAGGTGGCGTGCGTAGTGTACACATGTGTCAGAGGTCAAGGGTGATGGATCATAAGGTGAAGTGTGTTGTGTACAAAATGTGTTAGGGGTGGCGTGTGTGTCGTGTCAGGGGTCAAATCATAAGGCGTGTACTAATAAAACACACATGTTAGGAAATTTCAAGTTCCTTAACTCCAACTCAAAACAAAGATTTGAAGAACCAGTTTATTCCCAATCAATTAAGCAGGCACAGTTTTGACAACATCAAACAAACTGGAGAAAATAATGCCCCACACAGCAGTGAATCCCACTAGGTTTAAAACCTAGAATCTAAGTGTAACTGTTATATAGACTATTGATCGAGCAGCCCCATCTCACAAAACAAGAACATCAAACAACAGCAGTTATTCAGCAATAAATGTCGTCAATGTATCACAAGGGAGATAATCATCTGCCTCCTGGCTTTTCTCCCATTAAGATAAAATATTGAAAGATATTATGAAACAAAAAATGTGTAAAAAAAAATAAAACGAGACGCAAGGTGGTGATATATTATTGTAAGATTGTGGGGTGTGTCCAACACAAGACATCCTCGCCAAACTTTAGATTGAACAACAGTCTTAATAAATTGTAATTTCTAAATGAGGGGAGATAATTAAGTGTATTTTTTGGGGGGGGGGGGTAGACTAGTGGTATCCAGTGGATGCAAAACTATAAAATAACAGTCTGGGAATTTACAAAAAAAAAAAAATAATAAAACTAGATCTAAATTTCCTTGATGAAAAATAAGGTTTCTCAAAAATAATGATGAATCTAAGTATAGACAGTTATAAGCAGAATACATCCATTCTAAACTCCAATTCAATGAGAAGCATATATATACGTAATTATGCAGATTTAATAGAACTCGCATAGATCATACTTTAATTTTGTATTATTAAATTGACATAGTTTAGATATCGCTACAGCCGCATCACAGGAAGGGGAATAATCCTGGACTAACTTAACTCTCCCTTACATTAAGGATAACGAAATGAGGATTCCCATTTTTCAATAAATACATAAACACCAAAATTTGTGTTCCTTAATCTAGCTCGAATCCCAAAATCATAGTCACCAGACAACTTAGGATTAGTACAAAGTAGACTATTCACGCAGGGATTCGCTCTTTACATGTTAATCAAAGGGATCCACATGCAGTAAGCCAACAGAAATGCGAACTATTGGGGGAAACACTCTACAAACAAAGAACATGGAAACGACAGAACACATTGTCAATGGAAAGGAAAACATTTTCAAAACAGCAGAAAAATCACAAATTTTCAAAATGGATAATGTAGAATTTCCACTAATAAACAATATCCACACAAAACGAGGGCGGCTCTCCTCTACACTTTGTAAACGGCACTCTAACCGAGCCTGTCAACATGTCAAGGAGGGTTGGAAGACTCGATTGTAATTCAAAAACACCTGGCAATATCGGATGTCAGCCGAGAGATGTCATATCTAATTTAACAAGAGCTCCGAAATGTCACCATCTTTGATGACAGACTGGTGCAGCGGGCATTTTAAGTTCATTAATTATGCGATATTTTGAAAAGATGCTGAACGTAGTTTTCTTAGGATGAAGACAATCAGAAAATGGTATTTATAATTGCGAATGTGACATTCTCTGACTGGGATATGAAATCGTTAAATGTCCATGACAAGATGTAATGACATGAACATTTTAATATCAGATAAATTGTCTTAGTCTTTATGAACATTTGATAATATGAAAAACTGAACAAGAACAATATGAACAATACATTTTTTAAACAATATCAATAAGTTTGGACCAGTCTAGTAATTAAATTTGTAATAGATCTAGACTAACAATAATAAATATGTGAAATTAGAAATATTTTTACCAATTGTTTTTGTTTAGCGCAATTTCATTTTTCGTAGCTTTCTGAATGCGCTGTGATCCTATCACTTATCTGGACCAGTTAGGAAAACGAAAGGGATGGGGGTGAGAAAGCAGGGGGTATCTGGGTGAATGTTACCATAACTTACCAAGCTTTCTTTAAGTTGTACGAACTGGAGGGCTCAAGCCTCCTGTAGTCAACACATTAACCACTGTGCCAGTGAAGTGCTTATGAAAATAGAAGGGTTTTATCTATTGTTAGTTTCACTTTTAAGCCACAAAGTATAAATTCAACTTATTCCAACACATCTGCCAAGTACAATTTCTTTCCCTTGTTCCATACCAAACAAACGATATAGTTAATTACCAACAGCAATTGTTTTATCAAAATTCCAATTTGATCCTAGATTGGATGTGACAGAAAAAACGTGTAAAAGCTTTTTACTAGACAGTCGGACAGACAGACAGAGTGAGTTGACATAAGCTTTGAAAACACAGAAAGATGTTTTTTCAGAAAAACAAATTGACTGATTGGAAAAGAGAGAGAGAGAGAGATGAAGATTTTTTTGTAGACTGGAGTGCGTTTAAAACATTTGATCCATCAATTTAAAAAAAAAAAATACAGTCAGTAGAGTTGATTGTGGGCAGTTAGGGTTCCATTGGTTTGACCCTACTCTGATGTGGCATACAGCTAACCTTTCAAAATGATTTGAATCTTTCTAAGACACTGTTTTAGTGATTCTGTTTCACATCTTAAAATTACGCTATGCCCCTGGATAAGGCAACTCAGCTAAAGTGTCAGCCAATCATTTTCAAAGCAGCACATCATGTGACCCAGATTTCTTAAGACTTATGTCCCTTGCAATAACAGTATTGTCTCAGCTGCCTGTTTTTGTCCATGATGCATGCAGGGGCGGAGCCATACTCGTTGATTCGGCTTATCTCTTTCTCCACCACTGCCATTTCCTCGGTGGTAGGGGAATATGTGACCGTGACCTCAAACTGACCATGACCTGGCTCTGTGGAAAAAGTCACCTGATACAGCACTGTGGCGTTGTCGGCGTTCTCTGTGAACTCTGCCACCCTGCCATCAAAGTCGGAGGACTGTTTGAACTTTAGCATGTCCTTGTTGGGCATGACCCTACTGGCCAAGGTCACGGCCTCCAAGTTCAGTTCCGCGCACAAGGGCCTGTACTCCGATGTCAGGTTGTTAATGAATTCGATAGCAGTGTTGGCCGCCGCGAGAACTTTGTCATCATCCACAGGCAGAGAATCCCAGTTGAGACACCCGCACCAGTGGTTGCTGATGTTGGCGTGGCTGCAGTCCCTCTCCACGGGGATCTCCTTAAACAGACTGATCCCTCGCTCTTTAAGGTTCCCAACGCCGGCGCCGTCGAAGCGGATGACGTCCTTGAAGGTCTCGTGAACGTCAAGCGCGGTGACCAGGCGTTTGGTATTCAGTTTAAAGTTGGACATCAGTTTCGGGTACTTCCGGTCGAACCAGGGAGGGAACCGAAAGGCGAGATATGGAAGCCGCTCCTCCAGCTTGCCGGACACGCTGGCCCTAAACTTGGCGAACCTGGCCCCATGGTCACCCAGGATGACCAGTATAGTTTGATTCAAATATCCTCTCTTCTCTAAGTCTTGAATAAAAAGCATGAGATCCTCGTCAGCCTAAAAAATAGAAACAGTGTTTGGCATTAGTTAATATTGGTTACAATTACTTAAGCTAACAAATATCCGTTGCTTTGTATATCTGTCTTACTGGTTATCATTACTTTATGATTTATTACGCATACATGTTACATATATAAAGTAAGACTAGAGACCATATTTTGATATGAGAATAAGTGGTGAAATAGAAATATTTGTGTATTTGCCAAAGTACAAGGGGCATTTGGCCATTTGTACAAATGCTCCTTCTTCTCTAGTGCTATTAAAGCATGGAATGAGTTGCTTGAGCCAGCCAGGAAAACCAGTGACTTGGCAGAATTTAAGTCATTGGTTAATATGCATGACTGAATGCATGACGCGTAGGACGTAATCATCTTCTTTTTTTTTTTTGAAGTAACGTCTGTATTAAGATAAGATAAGATAAGGGCATCTACATGAAACAAAGTTAACGCTAAATCTAGGTTTTACTATGCTTTCAAATAAAAAAAGAAAACAACCAGAAAACATAAGAAAAAATATTTTAAAAGAAAAAGTAACATCTTATAGAGCGATTATTTATAATGAATGCTAGAAATAAAAAAAAATTGAACATGTTATAGCCCACCCCCGAGAAAAAATCTTGGTTAAGCGAATGTATAAATCCACTATACTTTATAATAAAAAAAAATTATGGCTTTTATATAGCGCTACTTTCATGCTTATAGCTCAGAGCGCTTTGGTCCAATCTCAGTTGTGGACCAGTTGGGGGGGGGGGGGGGGGGAGGGGGAAGGGGATATCTAGGAGAAGGTTTTTCCGTGCTGCCTTCAAGCGCTCAGTAAACACAAACCTGCCCGAGTCGGGTTTCGAACCTTGAGCCCCCAAGTTCAAGCGCATTGAACCTCTCGACCACGCTTCCCACAAATTATATAATATTCGAACGATAGACCTTTAGATCTAGACTTAGAAGACGGTGCGTAAAATGTTCCTGGACATTCATTTATTTTGAATGAACATGCGGAAAAACCCGAAGACCTATTGTTCAAGATTAAGACTTTATAGTTCTCTATTCAAATTATTATTTTTTTGTTTGAAAAAATATAACGGTTAATTTAGAGTTTTTTTGTTTTTTTTGGTGTTGCAAACGACCTAGTAATTCTTTTCCCAACTATATACAACAACTGTCAAGTTACTAGGAAAATCGTTAAAGTCGTTTTCGAGATCCATGTCCAGGTTTTTCCCACCCACCCAGAAGGTTTTTCGTGAAGATGCGAGTTGAATAGAGGCATTGTAGAAAGGTCTTCAATTCGTCTCAACAACCCAACACCTATTGCTATTTAAATTAAAACACTAAAGCTTTGATTATGCGGTGTTTGTTAATTTGTTAATCCCTCAAAACGATGATGTAGTCCAAACCGGCAATTAATTAGTGTATAGCAGTGATGCGCAAAGTACGGCCAGCGGCCTGTATTCGAGCATTGATATAGTGTTATCTTGCTTCTCATAACATCCACTTACAGTGCATAACAAAGCCGCAGATGTTCGGTTCCTTTTGGACTCTTGACGAGTTTTTCTTATCTTATCTTATCTTCTTTTCAAATAAAGACGTTACTTAAAAAACAAAAAGATGATTGCGTCCTGCGTGTGTTCCTAGGTCAATCTAGTCATACATGGGGTCAATCTAGTCATACATGGGGTCAATCTAGTCATACATGGGGTCAATCTAGTCATACAGGGGGTCAATCTAGTCATATATTGGGGTCAATCTAGTCATATATTGGGGTCAATCTAGTCATATATGTGGTCAATCTAGTCATACAGGGGGTCAATCTAGTCATCTATGGGGTCAATCTAGTCATCTGTGGGGTCAATCTAGTCATATATTGGGGTCAATCTAGTCATACATGGGGTCAATCTAGTCATACATGGGGTCAATCTAGTCATATATTGGGGTCAATCTAGTCATATATGTGGTCAATCTAGTCATACATGGGGTCAATCTAGTCATACATGGGGTCAATCTAGTCATACATGGGGTCAATCTAGTCATACATGGGGTCAATCTAGTCATACATAGGGTAAATCTAGTCATACATGGGGTCAATCTAGTCATACATGAAGTCAAT